TATCATAGGTTTCCTGCTGCACAACGGCTTCCTGCTCCTCCTGTTTGTTGCCCATGCTGCATGCATTGGTATAGATGCACTTCAGCTGGGCTACTGATCCCACCACTTTTTAGGGGGGAGAAACTGTATGTATCTTACAAAGGCATAAAAGTCTTTGGCCTATGAACTCCTCAAAAGTTTCTGATTAAACAGAATACCTCAGTTACAATAGCTGTAATGCTTTATAGTAAAAAGTGAAGAAAAAAAAGAAATTGTTATGTCTTTGTTATAAACAATAGTTTCTCACTAGTGGAGAATCTATTCATGTATGAATCGCAGAATGTACCATTAGGGTTTTATCAGGTCATTTTCCCAAACTTAAGCAGATGCTGGTGGAAGTGCACAGGTTCAAAAAGTATATAAATTAATACTAGGCTAGATGTGGTATCATTTCTGTGGTTCAAGTGAATAACAATGCATAATAATTGCATACATACCATCTTTTTTTAGGATTTGAAATTTGTTTTCATTGAGTAGATGGAGAGAGAAAAGAATTTGTATTTTTTAATTCCCCTTAGCATCCATAATACAAAATGCTGAAAAATTGACATACTGGGGGGGTGGGGTGGGGGGGGGGGGGGGGATTTGATAATCTAATGCTAAATTTTCAAGTTTCTTTCCCACATCAGTCATTTAGGACTGGACTCTCTCCGCCTTTTTTGCCAATAGTCTGTACCTTACCTTGAAAGAAGTGTTATAGAAAACAAAGGTCATATCAGCAGTTAGTGTAAATGATCATAAATCCTTCAGAATTCATGGAGCTTCACTGGTTTACAACACCTGACAATTTCTCCCAGCTCTGTACACAGAGTAATATACTGCTCAAGAGGAATATCAATCAGGTGCAGAAAATCTAACTCTCTTTATTCAGTGTGTAGAATAGTAAAGGTGTAACTATCAAACAAACTTTCAGAACTGTAATCAATGGAGGGGAAAATGACAAGAGGCTGGGGTTAAGCTGATCTGCTGATGCCCATTAAGATTGTCTGTTGTAAAGAAAAAATTACCTTTTTTTTCTTTTGATTCTCAAAGCCTTCAACATATCAAGGGATATTTCCTGATCCAGAGAGGTGAATTTATTGATGGTCTGGTAATAAACTCTTTGAGCAACTATGACAGACAATAACAGCAAAAATAAATCAATCTCAAACATTTGAGATCAACGTTTAGCCAATTGCCTAAAAAGGTTCTAGTTTCCTAAGAAGCCTTGGCAACCTCCTGCAAATTTGTTTATTCAGAACAGTTACTGTGTTTCCAGATGCACAGGGGACTCATTTGTAAAGTCCACTATCTTTATCTTGCAAAACACCTGAATCAGACTCACGTCACCCAAATGCCTGTAACAAGGGCCTATGTTTTCATTGTATTATGTTAGTTATCTGTAATTTCCTCATCACCAAGTTTATTGGTTTGCTGAGCAGCCTTTACATCTACATGTAAGAAGAGCATTAAAATGAATGCCTTTTAAAGTGGGACCCACTGATATTTTCATCCTCCTACACTTATTCCACAGTAGGTGCCCTAGGCTTCATAATAACTTCCAGTTCTGAAGCTCACTTCTGCACACTATTTTTTGTAAACCATTAAAGTGCACAGCACGTAATGCTCATGTATATTCAGCAAGCTGGACCTTCGTTGCATCATGCTGTATGCAAGTAAAAGAGAAAAGTGTAAATGCAGAACAAAAGGAGAAAAAGTAATACGTGTATTGTCTCTCATTTGAGGGAGAATCTTTGCTTTTTGGAACTGCTAGTTGAAAGCTGATAAAGAACTTAGAAATACGTTTCATAGAGTCAGAAAGTAATTCAGGCTGGAAGAAACTTCTGGTGGTCATCCAGTCGAATCCCCTGCTCAAAGCAACTCTAATTAAATGAGATGCTCAGGGACTTGTCCCGTAGAGTCTTCTCTCACCTTCAAGGATTGAGTTCTCTTGTATGAGTCCTCTCTTGCCTTTCCCCTAAAGCTGTTCTGGTCAGTGTTGGCTGGGCTGTATAAATTTGCAATTTTGCTAATGCAAACAGGATATGTGCTGTCCTAGTGGAGGAAACCTCCTCACTTCCTAGTAATGGCCCAGTCCAACACAGCATCCCCATTTGTGCACAAAATTTAACAAAAATGAGCAGCCACAGTTCTCCTTTCTCTGCAGATTTGACACTGCAGACAGTCAATGCAGAAGCAGAAGTTACGCCTGTGCACAGGCATGTGATCTTGCCTATGGGGCAAGCATAGGACAAGCATAACATTCTTCTATCATGCAGCTTGAAGCTGGTCATTATGGACATTTGGCTTATGTCACAAGAAGATAAAATTTCCATAAGAAATAGAAGCAGTAAGAAATGTAATTTTCCACATTATCTTGTAGCAGCAAGAAAAATAGAACTTCCCTAAGTTCTCATTTCAAAATGCCCTTGAGAAGTATATTTTTGTGTTTGTGAATAAAGACGTGGGAACGTTATCACAAACAACCATGTGCAAGAGTTCCCTTTATGGTCAAAAAGGGATATTTATGAAAGCCAAATGGTCACAGAGGCACACAAATCTTACCACAGGATCGCTCGTTTGCCAAGCTTTCTTTTATGTCCATGAATACAGATGATTGGGTATTCATTAAATAAGAGTACTATGCACCCTCAGTTTGGTCATCTGCTTTTAAGGAGCTACATAAGTCACAAAGCTTTCAGGATAAAACAGTTTGTAATTAAAGGAAAAGTACAAATACATTATTGAAAGAAAAAAAATCTAATTACATGTTAATAAAGTGTGGACAAGCATCTCTGGGAATCCCCATTCAATCTAGCCCCCAAATGAGAACTAACACATACAGGAAAGTACAGGGTTATTAGCTACCTCACGAAAGCATTCTTAGAAATGACTAATTGCCTGTAATTATTTTAATTGAACTAATTTTTTGGAGTATTCAGCACCCATCCAAGGATAAGGGAAGGCAGGAGGTGTACGTGAAATCATGCCTAAAAACTGAGGATAGGGACGTAAATCAAAATCCATCAAAGTTAATACAAAAACTCCCTTTGTCTTCATTAGATGCTGACAGACCCCAGAAGTCAACACTGTCTCCCTATGAGTGGAAAATTTTTGCAAGTATGTGGCAGCTACTGCATTTTAGGGCCTTTGTGAGGTGGTCTGAAGAGGGATGAGAAAATTGTACCCTACCCCGGTTTCCCTGGAGTAAATCCTGTGGCTTTTGGGAGAATATTGAATGTTTAAGCTACAATTTTGAAATGTCTTCAGAAGAACTACCCTTAAGTTTTAGTTTTTACTTAGGGCCGTACTTTCTAAAACGTGTCAAGTCTGTAGCTCTTTTGTGATCAGTGTGATACTGGTGCTTTGTACTTTTAAAGAGCAGTTATGCTTGTGTTTGTTAGACTGTTTTCCCTGAGTAGTTAGGTCCAATTTCAACTTGAAAATTAATTTTTTCAAATGGCTGTTAGCACTGAAAGTTATGTTAGTTAATAATTAGCAAATAACTAATAATCCTAAAAAATAATTTTTACCATTGGATAACCCTTGCATTAGGATACATGCTGCAGCTAAATCTTTAATTATTGTGCTTTATATTTTAAGAAACATTTTCTTTCTCTTCTGCAATTAAGTTTACTGTTCAGATGTGATATGTGCTGTTAACACAAGAAAATATACAGTCATTCATATAAAAGTGTATTTTTTGCATGGAAGAAATATACTGAGTAATTAAAAGAATTTCTGGGAATTTTATTACAAATTTCTGGGCAACACGTAATTTGTTCTTAAAATTCTAATGGTGATGAGTTTGCTTTAAAAGCACTAGTTCTCAAAATAACAATTGGAACTAATTCTTTATTATTTTAAATAACCACAGTAAGAAATTTACCTTGTTTCTAGAATGGTCTTTTACAAAATGGAGCTACTGTGAGCCATTTCAGTTGTTATAGATCTCAGCTATCAGCCAAAAGAGAATAGGAAGGCTGTCATTTTGTTAATGTATGGTTAGAATTCAGTTATGAAATATATTAAAAAGAGAACCATTCCTCAGGTGAATAAAGGATTTTGACAAGACTGTCCTGCTGGAGGAATACTCAATCACCAGAATTATCTTTAATATAATCACCCACCAAGGGATAAAACTGCATTTCTAAAATGTCAGTTCATTTTGTAATGTCTAGATGGGTAATCACAGGCACTAATTATCTTTCATTTGGAACAATTTATGCTCTCACTTGAGCATTAGGCCTCTTCACTGGATTTCTTCAATCCATTTGGTGACTGGATCCCAATTATACATCAGGCTACCCTTTCCAAATTAGTCTGTGGGGATTTAGAGATGCAGATTCCATTAAGTTAATAGGAATCACATGGCAAAACCTTATCATCCCATTATGAAACTTTTAGTCCCACTGGTTAAGTGGAAACTAGTCCTAAAAAGGGTAGAGTGATAATATAGGGACTTCCCAGCAGTCAAAGTAGTTTAGAAGTCTCCTAGCTAAAAAGATTTGTTGGAAATAATAGTTACTTTTTTTTTTTTCCTTGCTTCATCTCTTCAGTACTGTAAAGGACTTAAGTAATCTGTTATTATGTAAACTGTTATAAGGGCCTCTTACAGAACAAGAGTCACTCTCCTTAATGATGTCTTAGTGCCGAGAAACATCCCCAAAAGACCAGGAGCATGCACACCAGGAACTCAGGAAAAGGACCTCAGTCTTAGCTACGGGATTTCAGATCTTTTTGTCCCTAAAATTGTTTACACAGAATGAATAAAGCAAAGTTTAACATCAGCAGAAGAAGCAGCCATGGGGTTTGTAGGCAAAACCTGATCCCATGCTTTAAAGTCCAACACAGGGAGAGTTGCTCAGCCCAGCTGCTCTGAGAAGGGAACACCACAGTTTTACAGAGAAATCAGTTGTGATCAACACTTTTAGTTCATTCACATCAAATTCATGCACAATATTTCCAAGCGTTAACCTTACCTCCCAAGGTAGCTGATAGTAGGAAATGTGTCCCATATTTCTTTATAAGGTTTTCTGTGATCTGTTGAAGGGTCGGGCGGCGTCCGAGTAGCCTTATGTTACGGAAGAATTCAGGGGCAAGTGGCAGTGGGGAGCCAAGGAAATTTCTTCTTTCAACAGCAAGATTGCTTACTTTCCAGCGGCCAAACTCTCTGCAAAACAAAGCAATTCTCATTCAGAAATATGTCATTCAGACAAATGTTCTTCATTTGCAAACTACTCTGTTGACTAACTGGAGCAACTAGCTGGGTATTACAATAGGCCTTGACAGTGATACTCTGTCATGTGTTATAGGCATAGGACAAGAAGCGAGTGTTATTTATTAGAAGTGGAGACAGTACTCCATAATAAAATCATTGTTCAGGGAAAAATAAATAAAGAATAAACCACTTACAATGCTGCTGTTCCTATTATGTTTAGCCCCTGATGTACAGCCCTAGAACAACCAGATTTGCTAGCAACTGAAACTAAATTAATAATTTCCCAAAATTTGGACCACATGCAACAAGTGTTTTCATTAGCACAAGGCAAATTTTAAAAACATTTCAAGAAAGAGACTATGTTCTTTGGTTTTTGGTGATAAGTCAGGTACATAGCTGGCTAATTTGAACAATTTAGAGAAACACTATCACACCATAGTTGACCTTACTATGATATTTCCAGTTTTCTGTACTTTTGGCCTCCGTTTTGAGGAAATATGCAGATAGTAGTTCCAATTCCTAAAAAAAGATGACTTTTCATTTGTAGGAGGGATATAAATTAATTCAAAGACTTGTCCCCTTCCCCTCTCCAAAATAAAACAATGATAGCAGGGAAAACAAACAAGTCAATTACACAGCAATAAACACATCTTTTATTCATTTACTTACCAATTAAGATACCAGATAGAGTTATTAGTGGAAGGACTCATTGTCCTCAAAATCTAGCCAAGATACACAGCATTTGCAGTAATTTTGCTTTTGCAAGGTACACCAATAGCTGTTTTCGTTACAGAGTCGAGTACTGTGAGAATTAAGTCCAAGGCAACCTGTAGACTGTGATTTAGCTACCACTTTGTCGAGTCATTGGTATAGCTATGTCAATTAAGATTTCCCTTAGATAAGATTATAGAAAAGTAAATAGTTTAGAGAGCTTGAAAGATCGTACTGAAGGTCCCAGCTGAATATAGTACAACATTCATTTACAAAATTAACACAGAAGGCAACAATCAAGGAAGCAGCAAGCAAATAACATTCGAGGGATATCTGAAACAAAGCAGTTGCCTGCAGCTGAATGACTAGGATAAGCTATGCAATACATAATCAACACTAATATTTTTTTGTACTTTTAAGTCCACAACTATTAGTAGAACCCAGATAAATATATTCTTGCATAGCCCTTCTACTTTCCAGCATCCTCCTATTTATCTATTTCTCTTGCATATACAAATGGTCTTATCCAGAGTCTAGCTTAGATTTACACACATAATAGGTGACAATTTGGTGCAGCTCTTATGAACCGCCTTTCCTCTCAGACACGTTCTTGCAGATGCCATTTTTTATCAAAAACAAATCAGAAGAATTATAATAGAAAGAGCTTTATGTTACTTACCTGAAATTTAATGCAATTTACCATTCAAGAGCATGAGACTAAACAGATCCCCACAGTTTCTTAAAGACTCTGCAAATCACCAGTGTGCCTAAATTAGTATTTGGAAATCACTGTTTGATAGGTGTGGGCAACTTAGTTGTCAGTTTTTAAAGTTTTCTCTCACAAATTTACTTTCCTTTTAAGAAGCTATCAAACCAATAACTTCTTTTTTCAGCCTTTATGGAACTACTGCATATTTCTAGAAAGAGATGAGAAAAATTACACACAAACATTTTTTGTCTCTAAAATGAAAAAAAAATTCATTAAGCATATTGACCACATTAATGCAGGCACTAAAACCAGTGAATTACCCTGCTTTGTAAATGTACTTTTCAAGTGAAAGAAAAAAGAAATAAGAAAAACAGTTTCTTATTTAAATTCTGTGCTTTCTGGGCACATTTGAGTAGGTTTTTGCATTTGAATAAATCAGAAAATATAGGTCAATTGTAGTTACTGAACAGACCATCAGGACAGAATTGCTCTGACAGCAAGAAAAGAATACGAGCTTTATAATGTAAAATTCATTTTATACCTTGATGAAATCTTTTCTTCTAAATTTGCTATCTATCTGACTAATTGTCCATATCAAAGCTGAGGTTCAAACACAAGAATAACAGAAATATTGCATTTCTTATAAAAGCTAGTTAGCCGCTACCTTTCATTCAATTTTCATTGTCAGAGTTTTTAAGGACAGAGATCACCATAATCCCCTCATCTGCTTCCTTTTTAATGCAAAGAAATATTGCCAAATGGCTCTTGCTGCCTATATCAGCAAGTTTGTGACTGAAGAAGAAACTGTCTCCCAGAAAAAACTTCTGATCCTGACTTAAAAGGTGATGCTGAAGATTTCTCAGCATTTCTCAACAATCTGTTGTAGCATTTAACCATGGAGAGTGCATTTTATTTTCAGTTTGAACATTGTCAAATTCAGTTTCCAATTTTTAGAGCTTTTAATTAATGTCAGGCAGATTAAAATTTTTTTCTAAATATTAGTTACATTCTATGTAACTAATTACAGCTCTTTTCTGAATCTCTTCTTAACCTTGGGCAAAGTTGATTGTCTTCTTTTGTGTTTCTTTGTGAACTGTGGTTTTAGACTATATGTCTCACAGCTCTTCCCCAAAAGTGGCAAATGATTTCTTGGAAGAGTAAAACTAGAAACAATGCCCTCATCCACATCAAATTCAGGAAGTATTTCCAAGTTGAGATCCTCCTGTTCTACTACAAATCCTTTATTTACTAAATCCAGGGACTGAGTTATTCTAGCACTATGAGAGATTTGTTTGGCTTAATTAATCAAACTTGAGTTCATTCCACAGTTTTTGTTATGGAAAGATTGTTTTGCTGTACCTTATGCTATTTCAGAGAGAAGTAGGCTAATGTTTTCATAACATCAACATTTGATTCAGAGCATATCGATGGAAACAATTATTAGTGCAGCAAGTAATCATCCTTTGAAATTCACTCCTGAGGAAACTGAGGAAGTAGAATATGGAAGCCGAATGCTTTTAAAAAAGAAGACAGTTTTATAACTCTGCCACAGGCTGAACTGAAGCTTTTAAAGAACTTACAAACCAGCTATCATATTTTCCTGAAGTCTTTCTTAAATGAAGTGTTTTGGAATATGGAGAGATGAAGACCTAAACACTCTGGGAGAGACAAGAGAAAGCTTCATCTCTGAAAATAAAAGAGGGACACGGGACACCAAAAGTGAGCTGCTTGGCTGCAGATACCTAGATGTGGACAAGCAAGAAGTGACTAACAGCTTCTCCACCAGGAAACCTGAGTAAAGATTCCAAACTTCAGAAGTAACTGGGGTTATGAGAGCAAAGTGTAGGAGCAGGGAAACCTGGGCTGGAGTTCAGAGTGGGGTGTTCGTGCTACATTATTTCTAGCATTTTCAGTGAGGAGGCTTTCACAAACACTTTCTGGGTACGTGAGTCACTAGTAACTGCTATCCTGAAGTTAGAGCTAATTTTTCTTTCAGAAATTTCACTGTAAGTGAAATAATATCCTTACGTTCCTTTTATATGACTTATATAAATATGTATATTTATATACCTACACATATAAGTTCCCTTTCTTCTCTTGATTTCACCTTGCAAGCAGCAGTATATGCTCTCCTATTTCCTTCTCCCCTCTATCATCATATAGTAAAGCTCAACCTTTATTTACCTGTTTGTATTGCTGTCATTCTCTCTAATACAAACTCTCCAGCCCTCAAATGATTTTTGTACCAAATGTGCATTATTTTCCTTTGGAAATCATGTTCCTGTCCACTGCCAAAGGCAGACTATCAGATCTGACAAGAGTTAATGATCTTCTTCTTAGTAGAGAAAATACTGCCTTCCAAAGTCACTGGAGTACTATTTATCAGAAGAATACCTCCCACAGAATAGCATAGCATCAGTGCTGGCTGCTGGTCAAGAGAACCAATTATGCACTGAATACAAACACTAGATGTATTAGAAGCTTATTCTTTCCTCCTCTTCCTCTTCTTCTACTGTGTAAGAGCCAAGACTAGCAGCTGTCATGGTGCTATCAAGAAGCTAAGACTTAAGAGCAGGTGGTAGCCCCTGTGCTGCCCATCTATTTCCAGCCTGAACAATATGTTAACCATTGGATAGAGTTCTTTAATGCTCAGGGCAAAGCCTGTTGTTGAGAGGGATGATGGCTTTGAGTTGCTGGGCTTGTATAAGAGAGAGAAAATAAGTCAGTCTGGCTCCTAGGATTAAGCCTAAAATGGAACCACATTATTATCATTAGTAGTGCCAGAGGCCATGGGCAGCATTCTCTCCATCTTCCTACATATCAGAACCATGGATTTGTATGTCCTACTAAAAATACTTTTCCTGGCTGGTTGGCTAACACACATGCAAGAGCCCTGAAACCCAGTAGTGCCAATTCTGGTCAGCTGTACTGCATGCATGCCACAGCCTCTGTCTGCTGACTAGGGTGTCCTGCCATTTGTTCTACTTAGAGAAAGTTACATCAAAGAATGATCAGTCAGGGAGTCAGTGTGGGTAAAAACAAACACATTTTAAAATACAGTTTTTATTTCAACACTATTTCTTTTTTTATTTCCTACTATTCCTTATTTGTGTTGCTTTGCTATGACATTCAGAGTAATGTTTAATCTAAGAATAATATTCTGACATGAAACACCTCTTAGTAGACTGTTGTACAAGTTGTGGACATGTTTTCATCTTGAAAGAAGCTTAAATTGCAAGTGGACCTGAAAGTAATTCTAGGAAAGTAGGCCAACAAAGGCTGTCAATGTCTTTTTTGAATTTCAAGCCATAGTTGTTGGGTTTTTTTTTTTCAAATCTGTATATAAATTATACATTTTCTTCTACCACTGCATTCATTTCAATACATTTTAAATAATATGGTATGGGGAGAAGT